AAAAAAAAAGAATCTTAAAACAACTCTTTATTTGTAAAGATACTTAGTATTTCCATTTACCAATGTTGCTAGTAATTTTATGTACCTTAAAGTAAAACATGCATTAAACAAGAAAGAAAAAAGTGTTCACAATTCAAACTTTGACTAGTTTAGACAGATCATATGCTCAATTTGGTCAAATCATTCAACTTCTTTTTTTTTTTTTTGATCATTCAACTTCTTTTTACCTTTGTGACACTATAAGATTTAAATATTGCTGTCTGGGGCATAAAGCTTATTAGATTATTAAGGACTGGTGAGGCACAGTGATATTTTCTCCCTCGGTAAAACATGACATTGTTGAGTTGGCCATCTGGACAAGAACCTACATGTGTTTGTGCTTGCCTTCAGTCTCTGAGGAAAGTATGGGATGAGCTACTGTCTTCTCGGGCGTGCCTAAGATTTATCATGAACAACTTCTGCCTGACCTAAAGTTATAAGCAGGCTCCTACTGAAAGGAGCCTTGACCTTCTGACAAGAACTTAAGAACGAGGTAGACACTCTATCCTCCTTCTTTGAATGGAATGCTGCCGAAAAGGTCACAGACACGGAAGACTAGTGAGGACGCTGGGAGGAAAACAGTTGACGGGCTTTGTTGTTCTCGGCTGCTGTGGAGTCATCTGACCATGGTGGTCCGGTCTGCTGTGTGCAGAGAGCAGCTGGTCCACAGGGTCTGGGAAGCAGACTGACAGGTGGGGGGTGCCTCTGGGTGGGCTGAAACCAAGGATCTTTGGGTTAGTTGTTAAGTACTTAACCAGATGATCTTCCCAGGGACTTTTTTGTTATATAGTTAAGCTAAGAAGACATAGTGGAGACATAGTGGGTTAGGGTTAGGGTTATGCCAGCAGTTTGGGACCACCAGCTGCTCTGAGAGAAGCCAGATCAGGCTCCCTCTTCCAGTAAAGGGTTATTACAGTCTTGGAAACCCTGTCCTATCGGACCACTCTAAGTTGAAATAGACTCAATGGCAGTGTCTCTTTTGTTGCTGTTAAAGTCCATCCCCACTCATGGCGGCCCGAGTGCTCCAGAGTGACACTGCTCCATATCGTTTTCTTGGCTGTAATCTTTTCAGAAGCAGTTCGCTAGGCTTCTCTTCCTAGGTTAAGTGGAAGGGTCTTTCTGTAGCTCTTAGGGTCTTACTCCTCTTGGGATTGCAAAAGGGCCTGGTAGATAAGGGTCTGTACTTTTCCAAATATGAACCATTCCCACTTTGATTTTTTCATTGTGTCATTCATGGACTTACTGACCATGATGATAGTGCGAATGACTGTGCTTTTCTGTCTAAATACTAAGTGGAGTTAGAATCCATGCCCTATTTTAATTAAGTGCAATGACTTATAATGTACATTATTTAGATTCCTGGTTTCACCAATGAGTGACGCAAGCCTTTAGGACATGGAACCATCATGCCTTGCACAGAAAGCTGAGCAGAGAGGTTTATAGGACTGATCCATACCCTTCTATGACCAGTCTTCAGGTAGGTTTTTTTAGGGGAATCCTGAGATAGCCCAGCCTGAATCCAAATATGAAAGATCTAGGCAGGAACTGTTTTAGAAGAGCACTGAGAAGAATTAATTTTTTTTTGTTTTTTTTAAGAAGAATTAATTTTGGCCAACACATGACTGCCTGCATTATTGATAACTGCCCATTAACTTACTTCACTCTTAGTGTTTCTTTTCCCAGTCTCATTCTTTTTCTCAGATGTTGACATTGACTAGAAGGGTTTTCTTTTC